GAAAAGAATCTTGAGTTCATTCTGAAAGGGTCAGGGGAAAGCTAGCTGTGCATGGCTTTTGTTGGCTTTTGAAATACAGATGAGGGCGGATGATGTTGGTCGGCTGTGACTTTGCGTTAACCCATTGAGATTACCTTGACTCATAAGGCTGTGTCCCCATCCTGGGAGCTGCTGGAAGGAGATGTCTGTTTTCCTTCACACTGTGGCTGTCGGTTAGGAAAGACTCTGTAGGTGCAGTCAAGGTACAGAAAGGCTGTGTCTCGCCTGAGGTCACACAGAAAAAGGAATTGAGGCCAGATCCCCTGACCTCTTTTACCTAACATCGTGAGCACTGACTTTGTTACTAAGCAGTTTGAAAAGCTGGAAATTTCTGACTCCTGAAAAGAACTGACAACCCCCGAGAAAAATTCTGACAGCTCTCCTTGTGTAAGCAGTGCTGGGGGATTGCAAATGTGCGTCCTGCTTACAAGAGAAGCAGCAAAAAATGAGGCCAGGGAGAGTGGTTTTGAGCTCCAGATGCAGAACATGGCAGCTCCAGATGTAGAGGCAATGGTTTGTCCTCCCTTTCCGACAGTGGAAACAGTCCTGTCTCCACAAGGACAAGTTCCGTTTCCTTGGAACACTCCCTCCTGGAGGGGCAGGACTAGAGCGAGTAGCAGTTGTTAGCGATGAATTTGGAAGCTCTTGGTGTTCATCTTGTTTCTTCCCTGAGCTGTGCAGCACTGCAGGGTTCACAGGGATGTCCTTGTGTCAAGTGCGGCGGTATGGGGACAGCTGGGGGAAGCCTCCATCTCCTGGAAAGCTCCCAGCTGTGTCCTGTGCCTGTCGCTATGGACCAGGCTGCCCCAAGACTTGTGGTATAAAGCTACTCAAGTGCTGCAGCGACACAGTATTCCCAAGGGAAGCCCTTAACACGTGGCATCTGTCCTGATGCGGCAGCGCTGAAACAATTTTTGGATCCACAGTTCGGAAAAGGCTGGGGCATACATTTCCCCTGCAAGGAGGCAAGAGGACATCTCTGGAGAACGGAGACCTCAGCCACCAAAGTAGAGAGCCACAGCAGTGCCCATGCTGCCTGTGAGCAGTGGTGGTGACACGTGCACCCACACCACTCGTCACCGAGGTAGGAAACCAGCTGAACGGTGTCCTCCAGCCACTGGCATGCTGGGCTCTGTGGCTGGCATTTGGCTAAGGGATGCTTGGAGCCACCACCTGCACGCGGGGGGACCTTTCACCAGGGCACTGCTGACCGTGCCAGGCTTCTCGTTCACTTTTCCCAACATGCTTTCTGCTAGGAAGAGCTCTTTGGGTCACAACACAGAGTGCATTAAACTCAACAAGATCAACATTTAGACCCACAGATTCCACAGACATGTAACAGTTCGTCAGTTAAGGCCAGGTAAACTTCCTCATTTAGGCTAATTGAAGGGAAAAAAACCCCACCACACCCTAGTAGGGCCCAGTTCCTTAGCTCTATTGACTCTTCCATAGGAAAATACAGAATGGCAACGTTCTTACCTCTTACTGTTTGTTCTGTATCTGGTTTTAGCAGTCGAAGTGACAGTACTCGGTCTCCTGTCACCCACTGGGCCCTGGCAACGTAAGGAAACCAGTCCGGGGCCTCTACCAACAGGTTCCTTTCCAGCTCGGTGCATGTTTTCCTCCAAGAGAAGCACATGTCCAAGAGGGGCAGCTACAGCTAAGTAGAACCAGCCTCTGCTGTCAGCTCCTGTGGACGTTTGGTGGCTGCTGGGCAGCAAGGTGAGAACTGACTGGCTTCAACACACTTCCCTGTCATATCTCCACTGTGATGTATGTAAAGTATCTTGTATGTTACAAAAGGATTTTAAAAAGTGTCTTAAGGCCTGTAAACTCCGCTATTTGGTCTGAAGATGGCATTCTGTAAAGAGACTGCTGTATGAATACGTTCCCATGCTTTGTCCCCTATGCTATCAAACAACAAACCATATCTGTTCTGTATGTAATAAATGTGTTAACATCAGCAAGTGCAGGCTGTCTTGTTCCTACAAAGGCACTGGGATTTCTGCTCAGTCTTTTAATAACAGCAGGACACCTAAAAGGGTGGGAATGGCAGCTCAAGCGTTCACCGTTGAGCAGTTTAGTAGCGAGAAATGAGATGTGGCTTGCTCGCTGGGTCAGAGCAGAAGGGGCTGGTCCTGCAAGCCCTGCACCTTCTCCCTGCGTCAGAAATAAGAGGCGGAAAAGACAACCACCATGTCCTCGCGGTGTCCCTTTCAGGTGAGCTGCCGGGGTTAACACATCAGGCTCAGCTTTCAACACTCAGTTTGCCCACGTCCCCTGTCAACACAGGGTGGTACTTCACAAAGTCTCACAGGAATCGGTGACATACGGCACTGCAGGAAGCAAGTTCCTCTCAGTCCCAGCAGCACTTAAAGACATTCATACTTATTTTGTAGAACGGCATTAATTCAAGGGCTGTACGTAGCAATAACAGACAAGGGAACCACCTCCTGAGCAGGGGTCCCTAAGGTGAGTCGCCACCGTAACTAACGTGTCCTGGGCAGGCGAGGGTGAAGTCCAACAGGCAACATCTCCTGGGTCAATAGAAACACCTCAACAATGAGGTTTGGAAACAGGCCCTGGGACCTGTCCTGCACCCCTGGGGCTGCACCCTTCGATGCGGCTAGGAGCAGTTTGAGCAAGGCACTTGGGTGAATTGTAGCCATGTCTGGCACCCACCTGGGTGGCTGAGGGAGGGGCTCACTACCATCATCCTTCAGACAACCACCCCCATGCTGTTAAATGATCCGGGAGGTTAACGCACAGGTTTGAGAGTCCCAGCAGAGCTCCCAGCATGTTGTAGGCTTTGCATCCAACACAGGGCAACCTGGGGCTGTGCAGCTTTCCAGAAAGGGACCTTCACAAGGGCTCCCAGGGCTCTGTGTGAAGACACCTCCCCCTCACCCCTAAGTGTTGAGGTCACCAGGAGCCATGATTGTCCTGATCAGCCCCACCCGGACCCCCACCCATACGTGGGCCCTTTCCACCCATGGCCCAGGAGCCTGATCTAAGCACCAGCGCAGGCCCTCAGTCTTTGCCTGAGCTGTGCTGTAGCTGTGCCTATCTCCAGCTGGTCCTAGATGGACCCCTTGGACTTGGGGGTTTCAACTAGATGATCATCAAAGGTCCCTTCCCACCCCAGCCATTGTACGATTCTATGCCTTACAGTGTGTTATCTCCATCTGCTTTTGCTCCTGGCTGGGCTTCCTGGGTAGACCCTGGTTGTGGGTCATTTCTTGCGTGGTCTGGGGCTGTTGGTTGACCCGGTTACCAGCGCTTGGCTCTGCTCACTGCGGTCAGACTCTGTGGGCCCCTGCCCCATCAGGGAGGACAGTGCTGGTGCTGGGGTTGTGTTTTCCCACCTTGCTTGTCTTCGGTTTGCGTGCTGGTTCAGTAGCACCTCAGTCATGGTACGGACAGTAAGGCACCAGCTCAGCACCTGGCAGCAGAGGCTACGGGAACCAGAGAAGCCATCTTCCATCCACGGCCGCTGCAGCAGGAGGTCTCTCAGCCTGAAACTGTGTGCCTTTAGCAACGCTCCAGCTTTTCCCTCCCCTGGGTTCTCCCATTGCTTCTGAAGCCAGTGAACCGGCCCTGGCGTGTGCCCTGCAGTGCTCCTGCCACAACAGAGGAACAAGAGCTCAGCTCTTCCCAGCCTTCACCCCTTGTTATAGCACCAGCTTTTAACTCATGAGGAAAGCCTGCCCTCTTATCCCATAGCAGCTTAATCCTTCAGGAGCCTCTGGTGAGGAACCCCATGGAACTCCAAGGCAGCTGCTGTCCATCCCTTTGCTCCTGCCTGCTGACAGCCTTTTCCCTGGTGGCTGGGGCCACACGTTCCCCTGTGTCATCCACGCCTGCCAGACACACTGGGCAGGGCACAGAGTCCTGGTTTTGCTCTCCCTCAGCAAATCCCTTCAGGCTACTTGTGGTTTCAGGATGCTGCAGCAAATGGAACAGCACCTCTTGACTACTTACTCCAACAGACAAAAGAACTAAAGAGCTACTTCTGCAGGGAGCTGATCTGTAGGGTTACAGACCAGAACAGCTCTTGTGCCCCCTCCGCCCACACCCAGCTAGGCCCTCCAACAGTTCCTGACACAGCAGCAGAAAGAGAAGCCACCGCAAGAGAAAATGAAATGCTAAGAACTGCACTAAGGAGTTGCACGTTTTAATGTTCCCCATAACATGCTGCGCAGGAACAGGCGGGAATATGTGATTGGCTTCAAACAGCAAGAGCCAATCCTGTATACTTTGCACCACCAGAATTAAAATGATTCCTCCTATCACCTGACAGCCGTCTCTGGGAAGAAGAGATGGGTAGCTTTGGATAAGCTTAGTATCCAAAGTCAAGCTGTGTTGCTCCCGTGTTGTTCACCGCCATTATACGTAAGTAACCCAGACGATTCTGCAGCGGTTAATAGGAATCCGATGCTGCGCCTGTGTTTGGTAAGCTAACGGCTCTGCATTTGGACGTCATGATCATCTCCATGCACTGAAAAAAACACCCTAAGTTTTCTTGGAACTGTGCTGCAGAAATGCAAAAACATTTATTTTCATTAGTAGATACATTTGTACACAGCTCTGAGAAATCACGTGATAATTCTCAGCCATTTTTCTGTGATTTATGTTACCTGAAAAATGTTCTTAAAAACCTAACTTTCAGGCTGTAAAGGAAATTGTGCTCCAAAGAACTGTAGCTGGATGACAGGAGCTATGCATTCAGACTGTATAGCAAACCAAGAAGGTTCCTCTGCTGATGAGGCCAAAGTTACGGAAAAAAAATACCTGAATGCATCTGCATCTTTCCTTTCAGCTGAGGTGACTGTACAGGGCTGGGGAGAAAGCCAGGAAACTGGGTACACCATACCACAGCGGTCTAGGGGGTCTTCTGTACGATGACGTGCTTCTAACACACAGTGAGAGCACGTGGGAAGCTCAGGACACAGAACAAGTCTTTAAATTGGTGTCCCTGTGGCTTTTTTCTTTGCACTCAGGGGAGAGGCGATGATCTTCCCCAAATCAATCATTGGCTCCTCTGTGATTGGTTTTCCCTCTTTCTGCCACTGCGCAAGGATCATGGCTCGGAGCAGAGGTGGGTACGGAAGGTACCGAATGGTCTCCTCTGGCACTGGGGTGAATTTCTTGAAGGCCTCCTCCTCATGCTTGGGCACCATACGCCAGTCATGGTACATGACTTTGTCGATCTCTCTCACTTCTTCTTCGGTTTTGCCTGAGAACAGATGATGAACACCAGTGGACAACACTATCGATAACAAACTTCCTCTGGGAAATGCAGCAAGTGTCAACTCTCTGGTATCAAAAATGCTACAACGGGCAATAGTAAAGGAAGTTTTCAAAGGATCGGCCAGTATCTTCCCTGCTGTACTATGGGATCCCACTTCTGTCCTTGGAAATCAAAACAGGAACAGGCTGAAAGGACCACAGGCAAGTCATTCCAATTCTGTGGTTGACTCCCTGTCTTAATTTAAAATGGCACTTCATCTCTCTCTGGTTCAGTTTCCATGGCTAAGGAACAAGAGCAATTTCCCTCTACGCTGGTGAAAGATCCCTGGGAAATTTGACATTAAAAATACTCAACAACTTAAAAACATTTGAATGAGAAATTTTGCAGAAACTCTAGTAAGCAACCTAGTATGCCTAATATAAAGCAGCTTTAAAAAGGGAAATTCACTCACTCAACTCCAAGTGTTAATTCAAAATCCCAGTAACATAAGTTGACTTGCCATCACTCCTGTTTTAGTGTGTCTTGCTTTCAAAGCCTCAAAACAGTCTGTCACCTCATCCAGTTCCCTGTTACCGCACTATTTTTCCCCATGGTCAGCCTACACTGGCTTTCCCACAACACTCCTTAGAAAGGCATTCTGTCGGGCTAGATCCCAGCATTTGACACTAAAACACAGAGAACTTCTTTTCTCATTAGCAGATGTGAGAAAAACAAGTTTCCCAAGTAGGAAGGCTGAGGTTTTCCTACAGCTCTCCCTCCACTGCCGCACCCACTATTCTCCACTCCTGCCTGCAGGTGCTCTCTCCAAACCTCTGAGTGGGAGAACAAGCCGGTTTTACCTCTGAAGGTCAGGCAGCCCCAAGCTCTTCCATGATCCATGTTCTGCAAAGAAAAGAAGAAGCTGTTGAGGGCAGCAAGCGGTGAGGCG